GCGGAGTTCCGAGCACTGTCGACCCGGAATCCGCGCTGCTGGAGGCTAATATGCCGCCGCTCCATGTCCTTTGCCTGCGCGCGCGGCTCTCAATATTTGAGAACACACGCGCATGTCAGACGGACTGGATGCGGAGACCCCCGCCTGAGCCACCGCCTCGCGCAGATTTCCGCATCTCGCCATTATCTCGGGACGAGCTATATGCCTTCGTAGACGCATACACAAAGGACTATGGCATCACCGAGAGCTCACCACGCGAAGAGCGGTTCTTTCGCAGCTCCATTCCTCCCTGGTTTGCGGCCTCCGCTCACCGGGTCACCATCGGTGTGGAACTTCCGATAGACTTCTCAATAACTGACGTAGAAGAGCTGATACGGGAACAGCGCGGAGTCAGCGAAGAGGCTCTGGCGCTGCACAGCCATCGTTCGTGGATACTTGCGACCGATGGCGGTGTCGACGTTCCCAAGTCAGCAGGGGTTGGAATACTGCTTTCATCCCTCAACTCATCGGAGATAATAGAAAAGGCCAGCGTAAACTGCGGTGCACGCCCATGCAGCTACAGGACGGAATCCCGTGCGCTGCTTCTAGCCCTAGAGAAGCTGATGATTCCTCGTATCCGCCACAGGCGTAAAACCCTGCTTGTGGTTACGGACAGTCCGTCTCTTCTAGCGGCTCTAAACAAGGGCCCGCTCAGTCAGACAGACTGGACGGAGGATCAGATCTGGCAGCGTCTCTTGACACTGACGCGTGCTGGCTGGTCCGTGCACCTGCAATTTTGTTACGGACATTGCGGAGTACATGCTACCGAGCTTGCAGATCAGCATGCGACGCAGACTATGGAAAGTGGACAATACACGGAGCAAGGAATCGCGCCTTTATGGCATACGGATCTGCTGACATGTTTTACTACCCAGCTCACCAACAAGTGGCGTAGTACCATTCGTCAAGACACTCATCGCTACTTGCTTTGCGGCACAAGGCCATCAGATCTCAGCGGTAAGGACCTGATCACTCAGGAAGTTCTACACCGTCAAGAACTGGTTCACCTCGCAAGGGCAAGGTGCGGGGAATCTGAGCTCTGGGGCCGACTATGCTGGGCCGTGAGAGATTGCACGAACCAATGCCGATTCTGCAACATCTCACCGGAACAGTCTGCATATATGCGCTCTAACAAAGATCCAACCGCACCGGGGACGGACACTGTTCCCCCGACGGCAAGGGATGAAGACGTCTCTCCAGTAAGGAGACGGACCCTCACACGCCGTCGGAAGGAGAAATGTCCGCACTGTGATTCCACATTGACGGGATTCTCGGGTCTCGTCAGTCACTGTCGGTCATTTCATCCGGAACATCCTCCACCGCTTCCCGAGCTCAAATGTGATTTCTGCAACATGGTTTTCCCCACACGGAGAAGCACCGCACAGCACAGAAGTCGCTGCACACACAACCCAGACGCCACACGGCATCGAAACAGCAGTGCCAGGCGGCGATCTCTGCTGCCGCAGGATCAGCCAGCTTCCACAAGCACGCCAATCGGCCCGCAGGAAACCTTGCACCATCTGCTTCTAGAATGTCCAGGCACCTTGGCTGTGCGTCAACGGCTGGGCATTGAACAGGACCTTCGCCTCGGAAAGTTCTCTCAATGGCAGTTGCTTCATAGCAGGAAACTTTTGTCGCTGCTCGACCACCTCTTCGGCACTCAGATGGCATTGTATAGCTAGACGCGCTGGTAAGAGTAGAAAAAAAAAAAAAAAAACTTGCGTGGATCCCCTGGCTCAGCCGGCCACCTCAACGTGGTTCCAGGGTCCAGCACTCTTTGCCAGCGAGGAAGCTAAGCGCCCGCTGTTCATGCTTCAAACCCGATGAGTAGTTGTTACTTAGTTTTACGGGCCGGAAGGGCAGATGTCGGAGCCATTCTATAATGGCCGCCCGCGGAGTAAGGTTATCCTTGCTGCCGAATTCCTTCGTACGCTTACCGGAGCTGCACAATTGAGGTGTAGTTACTACGACTGGTAAGATAAGAAAAAAATATATATACAACTTTACCCAAAAGTTACGAACGCTGTTGGGGTCCCACGGCATCTCGCACTTTTACATTGGCGGGGACAACAAGAGCAACTCGGAAGACATTAATGTGACGGTGAGCAACGTCCTGCTGTACAACCGCGCATTGAACGAAGCAAAGCTCAATGCGTTAATGAAGAAGGACGCATTCGCTGCTGCAGCGGCGAAGGTGCCGGCCCAGGAAGTTGCGGCTCAAACTACCAATGTGAGTGAACCTTCTCGTCATCCCGCCAATGTGCCCGTCATCACGCCTGAAGCGCAGCAAGACGCCACATCATCACCACGAATTCAACACTCACCAGCGCAAACATCAGAATGAGAAAGTGGCCCAGCAGATTTCAAGCAAACATTTCCTGATATCATTGTCCCCTCCACCTCAGCTGGTGTGGGAAAGGTGGAAGAAGAGGCACCCGACAGCGGTGCCTTGGCGTCTGCATCGTCACAAACGCAGAACGCGGGCAGTCATGAGTTAATTGGAACCGAGATGCCTGTCAGTGGGGAGCACTTTCCTCCCAATATAGATTTACCGCTGATGGGGCAGGTGGACACGGCAGATGAAGACTCTCCGCGGATCGGCAACACCGATGATCAGGCGCCGCACAGCGTTTCACCTGATGTTTCGGAGAGCGTGGGCACGAACAGCGGCCCCGATTCATTCAGCAGCACTAACGTGTTGGGTGGCGCTGATGCCGCACCGGCTCCTCCGAGCACAGCGCCTGGGGAAACCAAGATTCCATCGGAGTCCAACGCAACAATACCCTCGGACCACGACATTTTGCTTGAGTTCCGCGAGTTGGCGGCCATGGCTCTAATTGGTGACAGCACCGTGCATGTGTGTGTGTCTCGGGTGTTGTTGTTGCTTCTGGGGCTGTGGGGCACTGCGGCTCTCTGCTGAGGTGTGAGGGAGGGTGTAATTGCGGCTTTTCGTGGAACAACAAATGTGCAGCTTCCCAGCACTACGCACTCAAATTTGTCAAGAATACTTCTTTTTTTTTTCTTTTTTCATTTCATTTTTTTTTTTAATTTCTTTTGTTTTTTTTAATTTCTTTTGTTTTTTTTTTACTTTTTCATTTCTTTTCTTTTCTTTTTTTTTTTGCTGGTGCTCCGTTGAAATAATCAGCACCCCTGTGTGTTTTCCCCCAAATGGTCGCTCGCTGCACACCGTCATGAGCGATGTGTTTCCCCCTCTTGTTTGCTTTTGCTTTTTTTACCCACACGCGGTGCCGGCCTCATTGCCGTGCGTCCCACGGACTGCACGAGAGGAGGAGTGGAGGAGCAGGCCGGATGCCGCATGGAATGTGAGGAATGTTGTGTGGGCTCGTGGAACAATGTGTTTTTTTTTTTTTTGTTTTTTGTGTGTGGACAGTATGTATGAACTCAAAAACACGGTCGTATTGTACTCCAGAGGAAACGAAATGAAATTCCCGCCAAATCGTTTTTTTTTCTTTCTTTTTTTTTTTTTCTTTTTTTTTTGGTAAATCGTTGCGTCTCTTTCCGTCTGTGCCGTGACCCATGTCATTGTGTGTCTCCGTGTCCCTTTTGTTGTCTCTCTGCTGACTGTGCTGCTGGCATGCCTCCATTTCTTCTAATTTCTTTCCTGCTAGGGGCACCGATGGTCCGCGACGACGATTGTTTCTGTTCCCCATTGCGAGGGCACAGGGGTGACTGGGCGCCGGCCTGTTGAGTGCACTCGGGGGAGCGGATTGTGTGCGCCGTGCCTCGCTGCGAGTGTGGGATGCCACGGCCTGCTGTGAGGCGTGATGCCTATCCGTCGGGGAAGCGAGAAGTAAAGGACTGCGGCGTGCACTTGGATGCGTCCCGTCCCTCTTGTTGGGGCCGTGGGTGTGCTGTGCCCATGGCCCTTTGTTGCGGTGCGACGTGGCTGGCGGTGCCTCTGCGTGCGCCCTCGTGCATGCGTTGTGCGGCGGGATTTTCCTGCCCATTTCTTCACCCTTGTGAGAGGTGGAGTGAATGGAGAGAGGGTCTGTGTGTGCGTGTGTGCGAGGCGCCTGTGTAGGTTGTAATTTCCTCCATTGTTATTTATTTGCCTCGGCTTTGTGTGATGGTCCTTTGGTTCTATTGTGTGTGCTTTGCGATTGGCGGTAAATGAAGTGTGTGGACGAGCAGAAGACTAGGAGCGTGTGAACGGAGTGTTCGCGAGGAAGGCTGGCTGCCCAAATACATGTATATCCTGATTGAAAGAATATATTTCTTTGGGAGTTTTTCCTATTTTATGAATCTTCTAGAAGACCCCGAGGGTAGCAATCAGGGAACCGATAACTTCTGAATGAGTTTTAATTGCTTTTGTTTCTGCCTTCCCACTTGCCCCCTTTGTGGTCCTTACCTTGCGACTGCGTCTTGCGGCTGGAGGAGCCCAAAGTCTTCCACTTTGGGTTTTGAATGCATACATACACACACACTTATGTATGTACATGTACATGCATTTCCAATCCGGATGGAGCGATCAAGTTACGATAGTAGCCACCATAATGTGCATATATAAATATGCGCGCACTTGGTGTAAACACTCATTGGGGATTTGGCGAACCCCCATCCCCATTCCATTCACCCCTTCTCATTCCCGTCCTGTGTGAATCCTATTGACAGCCGCAGGATCCGTTCGGCGGCCCAAGTGAATATTCTAGGAGCTCTTTTGTGTGTGTGTGTGTTTTTGCTTTTGTCGTCACGGCAATTTGGCTTTTTTTTTTCTGTGATTTATTTTTTAAAATTTGGGGCGCTCTTGCCTGTGACGCTTGTTTTTTTTTTTTTTTCCTTGAGTAAATTGAACAAAATGAAAGAACGCACCTTCTGTCCATGTTTTAAATAAAACAGAAATGATTATGTACGTTCCATTTATTCTCTTTTATGCGTGGGCGAAGCCAAGTTCCTCCAGTTGTTCCAAGCTCAGTTACACATGTCGTCGGAATCGCTACACCTCACGGCCGTGCGGCTCTCGTGAGCGCGCGCGTCAGGGCGTCTTGCGCGTAATTGCTTAGACTGTGCGTCTCTTTTTGAATCATCATATCTTGCAGCTTCTGAAAGAATTCCGCGCTGCCGCTTCTCGTCGTGGTGCTTGCAAGACGAATGAACTGAAGAGAAAACACGTTCATCGCATGGCGCAGTTCTGCTCCGCTAAACCCCGCCGTCCCTTTTATAAAGGCACAAACCAACGCCTGCTGTGATGCCACCTCATTTGCGGGAAACCACGCCGCCCACTCACCGTACACGGCGCGCTGCACCATGGAACGCCGGGCTGTCTCATCCGGAAGAGTCACCTCGACGAGCGTATCAAGACGCCCAGCGCGCAGCACCGCCTCGTCAAGCATTTCCTTGACATTCGTTGCACCAACGAAGAGTGTGAAGTGCTCCTCGTCCTCCTGAGCCTTGTCCAGCAGGTTCAAAAACTGGGTAACAAGCCGCATGTCGTGCGTTGAACCCAAGAAGCCTTGTGGCGCACGCCGCGTTCCAAATGCGGCCTGCAGTTCGTCGATAAACATCACGGAAGGACTGCGTTCACGTGCCGCATCAAAAAAACCGCGCAGTCTTCTCTCCGATTGGCCGACCTCAGCCTGAATCAGCTGCGGTAGGTCTATATAGATAAAGGAGGCGTTCAGCTCCGTGGCCATGGCACGTGCGAGCATGGTTTTCCCGGTGCCTGGAGGACCATAGAGCAGAACACCCGTGGAGGGTCGAATGCCAAAACGACGGTGTAACGTGGAGGAATGCAGCGGACGCAGAACAAGCCGATGTAACGTTTCCTTGACGGACTCAAGCCCAGCAATATCTTGCCACCGTGTCTCCTGCACGTCAACATAACCAGCACTTTGGCGGTACTCCTGTGCCGCAATAGAGCCGCTTGTGCCGAATGCTCGAACTGCGCGAAGTGAAAAGATCGCTGCCACTGCTTCCGTCTCTGAGTCGGAATTGTGCGCTGCGTCGTCAACCGCCTCATCCTTGCGCACAGACATCTGGTTATAGTGTTCCGCTGGTGTTGCGTTATGCACGACATCCTCCATGTGCTCGACAATCTCCTTCAAGCCCCTGTAAGGAATTCCTCCACTGCGTGCGGCAATCGCTCGACACCAAAGCAATGGATATTTGGTGTGAGTACGGAAAAACGCAAACCTTTCCTCTTCCAATGGTGTTTCCAACGGAACATATGCATCGAATAACTTTGCGCGGGCAAACGGATCAATATCTTCCCATGCGCCACTGAACAACGTCACGAAAAGCACCGTATTTAAACGCATAAACCGGAGTTCATCTTTGTCAAAGAGCTCACGCCCGCGGATAATATCGTACAATTCAGCCAGAACGACCGGATGGTGCGGGGCAGTGGAGTGCGACTGCTCGGACGACGATCTGTCGCCACGTATCCACCCAGCGGCGTTATCCGAAGCGGTGATGAACAATTCCATGTGATCAAGCACAACAATCACAGCCGCGTCTCCATCCTCATCCCCAGAATGATGACTACCGGGACAAACCACAGCACCGCGAATTGAGTGACGAACGAATTCCCTGAGGGCTGTGCTTCCGTCTACATGCCGTCGCGAGAGAGATAAAGCAAGTTGTGGGGTAACAGCAAGCACACGTCGCCGACTTGTGGCACCGCGGGCACGCTGAAGCGCCCTGCACACAACATGACTTTTTCCATTGCCAGATGGCCCACATAACAGCAACGACGCAGGCTGGGAGCGGTGAGGCCAGTGAAGAAGGACACCACAGAGAAGCTCCTCTGCAAACAAAAAGGATGAAATATGAGACGATTGCGGCTTCGTTGAAGATGTGAGTGCAAATTCAGTCGATATTCCATGCTGCATGTTCTCGGCTTTCCAATGCCATCATCCATTGAATGAACATAAAAAAAAAAAAAAAAAAGGAAGAAATATTCACCTGGACGCAGGAAAAGCAAACCCCAAATATACCCGAGTACTTGAAGCCCTGGCACACACAAAAAAAAATTCATCAATATTTCCTCATTCTTTTTTTTTTTTTTTTCTCTCTTCTCTCATGAGAAACTACGCAGAAGGGAGAACAACAGCGCCGTCCTCTCTTTACACTCAGAGAAAATAATCGTGTCCCGCTCGTGCTCCTCACGCTCCAGCATAAATTGTGAAGCTTCTCTACAAAGCATCAAATATGCGACATGAAAAGGCGCCGGTTGATTCCCCGAAGGGGATGTCGCCTCGCACAACGCCTTTTTCAAAGCATAGTTTTCCTTCTGCACAGCGAACAACTCCTCTTGCCGCTCATCAGAGAGTCTCTTCAGTTCATCGATCCGCTTTTCTAACGCGGTTACGTGTTCAAGATGCGAACGATACGCCTTCAAGTAAGGAAATGGTACAGATACATCTGCCGCTAGTGGCATACTTGATGTTGCCGAGGAGGTCGGCCGCTGGTCGGCACACACCCGCTCAAGGTAGCGCACCTTTGTTTGCAGTTGCAGGTGAGAGCGCAACAACGCCTCTTCTTGTGAGGAAGTACGCACCGTCTGCACAGACGCCTCAACTGTTTCTATTCCATAACGCGGATAATAACACCGGTGTTGATTCTGATGTTGAACCCCTTCTTGCGCCGCGGCAGGAGGAAGATCAGCATGGGACGATAGGTGACACACCTGCACGGAGACTTCATTCATTAATTCCTGTTTTCTCTCTCCCCGTCGGAGGCTCCGCTTTCGGTCTGCAAAAAAGATCTCCTTTCCTGATGCTGGAGGCATACAAAAAGGACCCAACGATAAATATTCTGTGGGCTGGCGGGCAGATGGTTTTGTGGGACCCTTCTGCAAATTCTTCGCTTGACCACGTTCTGCTGCGTCGGCTGCGTCTGCCAGTGGATGGATCGCCGCTTCATCGCCGATAGCACCTCCCCCAGCAGTAAGAGCAAGGGAGGCTGTGATCATACTGGGTGCATGCTCAATCCACAGTGACTCCAGGCGGCGCAAGGGGTGATCCGCTGGCGGATCCCTCACCGTCAACGCCCGCCGCATGGTCTCCTCCGGTAACTTCACACTGCGGATGTCATTTTCTTCTCCCAGCAACACTGCCTCAATGACATTTCCGCACCATTTCAGCAGAGAGTGAAAGGCCTCCCAGAGATTCCCAGTTTGAAGTCCCAAACCGTATGTCTCCCGCGCATGAAGGCACAACCCAGTAAAGTACAGCTGCACCACAAGATGAAGCGCCGCGGCTTGCGACTTCGCTGAACCTTCTTCACAAGAATCGTGAATGTGAGGCAGCGGGGGAAGACGCATAAAAAAGTTCTTGAATACAAATGACAAAATGAAGGGGAATTCCCGCATTTCGTCCAACGCAATAAGTAAGTTGGGGATAATGTGTTCCGAGAAATTTACGGCCATCTCTCTCGCTGGCAAAACTCGCTCACGTACGGCATCCCAAGCCTCGCTAGTGTGCTCCATTATAAACCTCACAATGATCACTGCGCACATAGGCGACATTATCATCGGAAAGAAATTCTCGATCGTCTCATGGCTCTCAACGGCCAGTGATGATAAAGGTGACAAACGAACCGGCTTTGTCACTGAACCACAGCAAAGGCATGGGTCCATTGACGCAGGTGGAATGCGTCGCAAAGAGCACTCAGCACAAATAGCAGCATGAACCAACGATATGTCAACGCCATTTCCAACGATCCCTCCAGGTGTGGGAGTTGAACGCAGCTCAGTGAATGCGTCAATAAAAAGATCCGCAATTTCCGATGGATTTCTACTACCACCAGAAGCAGCAGTTGCTGTCATACTTCGACAGGCAACATGATCCACAAGCAGCAAAACAGAAGACGTTTGATGTATGAGCACCCAAACAAAACCCGCGCGTGAAATGCAAGCCTCCCCACGACCGTCACAATCAACCACCAAATCTGTTGTTATCTTAGGTGATGGTGGCATAAGCTCCGCCTTCCTCGCCAAATTACGCCGGGTCGTCACGGCTGATCCCGGCTCCATCATCATCATTGTTGAGGAAACGTTACACTTTGCACTTGTCGTTCCCTTCAGTGATGGCGGCCAGACGCCTCCCCACACCTCCGCGTCCCCCACAGTGACATTTTTTCCCCGCTCAAGGACGCGACATTCGATGCCCGTCGCCGAGATGTAGGCCGTGCGCAACGCATACTCCATGGCGTTGCAGTCACTCCACGAGGGAAAAATTATCGAAAGCCATATTCCGCAGGGCAAAAATGCACCTCGATCATGTTTTTTCCATCCGTCACTCATCGCCACGTGAAATACCCTCGTGCATTTCAGGACATCGCTGGCCTGGTACCCAAGTAGTTGATTCCAGCGCACCACAAGTGTACCCGGAGATGTGCCACAGTTTGTTTCCAGCGGAAGTAACACAAGGGCATTGCGAATCACGGCAACGAGGCCCCGCAACGCTCCAATTGGTCTTCTGTCTGATGCGTGACAGGCGGTTGCATTGCAGGCCGCCTCTGACGATGCAAAAAAGGTGCAGTGACCAGCAATAAGGTATACTGCACGGCCGAGTGAGGGCGGACTGAGCGCCTCCAGCACCTCTCGCCTTTTCAACCACGTCATCATGCCTTTGCTAACGTTCCATGGGAACTCAAAAAGATGTGGCCTTTGGGCGGAAAGCACGCTGAGCACTTTGTCTCTCAGGAGTCCAACGGAAATCTTCACAACATCGTCCGCGCTGCTGCCGCCTCTGCAGTTGCGGCCCCCTTCAGCCGTTACACAAGAGCTACTGCCGTCAACAACCCGCGGCAAATCCACGCGGACGGAACTCTCGTGGCCGAGAGGATAACGAGTTGACGGGTCTGCGATTTCAGACTCACTTTTCGCACTGCTACCGGTCGCAAAACACGCCTCCATCATCGCTGACGTTGGCAGCGGGCCCACTACCAAGTACCTCAGCTGGCCATCCATGTCGACGCAGAGAGCCAACGAACGTAATCCCCCCAGCGGTTCCACGTGGGCAACGATGTCGCAGGATTGGACGGCCACAAATATGCGCGCCAGGCTCATATCGCTTTCTGTGAACACAAGAAGAAACATCTGTGAATTCCTCCCGGTGCAACAACTCTCCACGAGCGCCATGCCACCCTCAAAAGACACCTCACTGTTTCCCAAGAACTGAATCGTGGCCGGGGCACTTGCAACAACGGCAACATCCCCGAGCACCACGTCAGCCGGAAACAAGTCATGCCTTGCGTTGCTCCACAAGATGGATGCAGACACATTCAGCTGATCCATTGAAACGCCATAAAAACGCGCTGGTGCAATTAGATCGCCACGCACACCCAACAACAACAGCAAAAATAAAATAGAAATAATAATAAAAGTAAGAATAGGAATAATCTGCAAGATCCTCCGCGATGCCAACAAAATATCCACATGCACAGAGCAAACCCCCGATTCACGAAAAAAATATATATATATGTGGCGCCAAACAGACAACATCCAAGATTCGCCTACAAATCAAAACAAACAACAATAAATGCCTCACCCCCCAAGGAGAATGTAGGCGCAATAAAAAAAGAATTTCATAAAAATTTCATCGGTTTGTCCTAAAGCCCCCAAGTCAAACTAGCATATCGCATGCCGCACCTCAAGAGATCATTATGGTTAAAAAGAAAACACTGTCTTTTGCACGCAAGAATGCATCAACATATTGCGGACAGCCAATGCGATCACTCAAGCATGTCGTGCTTGGCGCAATGTGTGCCGCCCTCAAAACGCACGCGGTGGCGCGTTCATCCGCCACCCTTTTTGTGATTGAAAAGGCAGTGATAATGAGGAGTAGGGCACCAAAAAGACAAAAAGAACAGTCCCAGCCGCAGAGAAGAGAGAAGTGCAGTAGGAGGGTATTAAATTACTCTTTGGATTTCCCGCAGCGGCGGCACAAAAGTAATTCCCTTAGGCGGAAAAAAATAAAATTCACGAGGTCCAGTGTGCACAAACAAAGCCATCCGCAATGGCCTCCCACTCTTCCCCCTTCCGGAAGATCACCGCGGAGCGGCAGGACTGTTTCGAGCACCCTCTTTTTTCGGTTGCAGCAAACATCAAGTTTTTCCTTTTTGAGTGGTCGTGCTTGTACATGCCAACTGCATATTCACCGGTCCGCCGTATTTTTCCTGAAGCGCATGAGAAACTCGTGACGACGTGTTGCTAGTACGCCCACCGGCACCCCACGTGAGAGCGGAAAAAAACAAAAACAAGTTGTGTTTTGGCAAAACGCGGGGCGTCAAGGCCCCCCAAAAAAACTTTTCTTCTCCCTTCTCAGTGCGGGGAGGCAAAAGTTCAGGGGATTAAAAAACACATCTTCCCTTTTCGTCCGCAAAGAAATCAAACACATGAGGTGACAGCATGACGGCACGCACACACACACGGGGGCGGGCCCTTTTGAAACATGACTAATAACGACAAAAAGGATAGTGGTGAAAAGGCAAAGGAAAGAAAAGTTGCCGTGAAATAAACGTGAAAACACATAGAATGGAAAACGAGAAAAACAAAACAACAACAACAACAAAAAAAAAAAAAAACAATGAAAAGGAGCAGATCCCCACAAGTAAATAAATAAACCGAATGATTATTAAAAGCTCTCCCATTCTTCGACTAACAAAATCTTCCGGAGAAAAGTAGTTCTGCATCGCCATTCTCTCATCCTGTTCCATCATCTAAGTTTTTATGCATGTTTGCGCCACACAAAAATAACGCATGCAAATGTAACTAATTATAATATATATGCCTTTTCACCTACAGATCGTTTCTCTTCTCTTTTTTTAAATTTATGCATCTGTTATTCATTCTATTCGTGTTTAGTATTTGGTATAACTAAGTTCCGGAGCCGCATCCCTACATTCCGTGCACACCGCCCCAAGATCGTCATTCCACCATATCGGCTTTCGTTCATTACACACGGCACATGGTTCAAACGCCTCAGTCTTCGGGGCTCTTTGCAGTCGAGGCGCAACATGGGTGTTGTACGCTTCCATGCGCAAGATGTCAATCAAATCCCCCTCCGCTCCAAGGTCAATTAACGGCGCACGCCGGAGAATAGCTTTCACATCGTGAGAATCGGCAACTTTGGCGTCAAGTCGCATGATTTCATACACTTCATTTGCGGCCGTCGCGGATTTAATGCGGAGGAGATCACTGCGAAAGTGCTCCACAATCGCAAGACAATATTTGATGAGAAACTTCACTCCGCCATCCATGAAAAGGTCCAGGAATACAAAGAGATCTTTAAAATCAAGGACGTGGATGCAAAGACCAGTAAGAACCTTTTGAAGGTATGTGTCAGGCCACAATTTCAGCTCCTCAAGATGCTTCGCCACATCAGGAAACTTTCGCTTCATAAAGCCCTCCACAACCCAGGCAGTGGTCGAAAAGCCAACAGCCTCGGCAGCCCAGTGCCCCGGAATATGAACATTTGCCACATACCGAAGTACCGCGGCAGTTTCCTCCTCACTTAGAACCAGCAAACAAAGCCCAGCTAGGTAACTCATGGCTTGTCCATATGCGTTAAATTCATTATGCATAGCAGTAAGAAAATTCACAAATTTATTGCGGTGTTCAGGATGGAAAAAGGTACGGTCCGCATCTTTGATAATTACACGAATAGTCTCTTCATCCTCATCATCAACCTCCAGGTATTGGACAGGTTTCACGAAGAATTCAGCCTTCTTCACCCATTTTTCCAGTCTCTTGCGCAGGACATCGCGGTTCTCCTCAAGGAATCCCTTGTCAAGATTCAACAACGGACACCGTCCCTCCACCTCCTCCCGCCAGAAAAGAGGCATGTCAAAAAGAGGTCCAGTGAAATGTGTGGCTTCGCAGTACTTTACCGTCCTTTCATTATTTGTTGTCTTTTTCTTCTCCTCCGTCGTCTTTTTCTGAGCAAAGCCGCCGAATGTGGTAGAAACAGGGGCGGCCTCAGAGGATGAAGGCGCAGGCTGGGCTCCAAAACCAAAATTCATCGGGCCGGGTGGCGGTGCAGCGCTCGTGGTGCTGGTAAAACTAAAAAAGGACCCAAACGGTTTCGGCGCCTTGTCGGCACTGCTGGCATTGAAATTCTGCGGCTTGGACTCCGTGGTTGACGGCCTCGTGTAGTAAACGGCCCAGACACCCTCGTCTTCCTTGCCAGATTGACTCTTGATTTCCCGCGCCCGCCTGTAGATGAGTTTCAGCTCGGCATTAATGACCTCCGCGTTCTTTTCCACCCTCCCCACTTCCTCGAAGTAATCCGTCGGCAATGAGGGATATGATTGAGCAAACGAGGCCAACGCCGGCGCATATCCACCGAAACGCTCAAAACATTCCTTCGCATGCCCCAATTTAAGGCCCGTCACGGCGATAAAGTCTTCCAGCGGTCGCGGCTGATCGGCCACAAAATCCACTTTGCTCATTCCCCTCCTTCCTTTTTTTCCTTCCGCCTCTCTCCGTGTATCCCTCGTCCGCGCCTTTAAAAAGTTCCCTGCAGGACCCAACAGGAAGAAAGAGCATAAAAAATAAATCGCGCATGGCATCAAAATCAACAACAACAAAATAGACATCACCAAAACCAACAAAAATAAAAAAAAAACATCAACCCCCCCCCCCAAAAAAAAAAACTATAAACTTGGACGATTCCCGGAAAAAGACACAGTCGGGTTCTCCTTGATGAGAAGACCCAAAAAAACAAAAAGCTCGTTCACGTTTACTACATTCACGCAAAGAATATTCATAATCGACTGCAAACGAGAGTGCAAGTTGGCATATTCGCCCGTTCGAACCGATTTTCCTTCCAAGAAAGGCACCTGGAGAAAATTTTCTACAAGGACGGCGGCACTCGAAAAAGCCACAACATCCATTGACCAATGAGAAGGCACTTTTACATTCAATAGAAAACGAAGCACCGAGGCGGTTTCCTCCTCAGTTAGAACCAGCATAAAAAGTCCAGACAGGAAACTCATGGACTGCTCATATATCTCAAGTTCATTGTACATGGCGGCAAGAAAGGCCACAAATTTATTGCGGTGGTCAGGATGGACAAAAGTTTTATTCGCATCGTTGATAATCAAACGGACCGTCTTCTCGTCCAGATCATGAGCGTCAACATACCGAACAGCACCCCGATGAAACACCGCCGTAGATACCCACTGTTCCAACTTTTCGCGCAAGGCAAATCTACTGCGCTCAAAAACCTCTTTGTCAAAATTAAAAAAAAACGATTCTCCCCCCATCTCCGCCTCCCAAAAAGTAGACATTTCAAAAAACGGTCCAGTGAAGTGAGAAGGCTCACGATATCGTACATTTCTCAAGCACTTTTGAGGCAAGGCGGCAAAACGAGATTCCTTGGATAATGTAGGATAGGTGTAGTACACAGCCCAAACCCTTTCCACATTTTCCCCCAGCTGATTCCTAATCCACCGTGCCCGCCTGTAGATGAGTTCCAACTCTTTGTTGATTCGAGACTTAGTTGCCCTCAGAACTTGACGTCGATCAAAGTAATTCTTTGGCAATGAGGGATATGATTGAGCAAACGAGGCCAACGCCGGCGCATATCCACCGAAACGCTCAAAACACTTCTTTGCATGCCAAAACTTAAGGCCCGTCACGGCGATAAAGTCTTCCAGCGGTCGCGGCTGATCGGCCACAAAATCCACTTTGCTCATTCCCCTGTATTCTCTACAGCGCCTGATACTACAATCCTCGGGGAGGTATGAAAAAGATCGACATGACATTTTGATACACATATATGCAGAGAATAAAGAGGAAATGGGGGGAGAAAAATGCATGTACTAACGCAAAATGACATTGGAATAAACCCCTTTCAACGACGCGCACAGCAACAACAAATACACACAAAGGGAAAATAGAAGGAAAGAGAAAGAGGGATAGGGGAACGCATTTCTACGAGGGTCTTCCCCTCTCCTCGTCTTCCCAGCTTTTCTTCGCCGATTTACATGCTAATTCATTCGGTAAACCCTTTTCTTTTTGTCTCGTTTACATGAGTCAACTATTGGCACGGAAGAAAATGGCTCCCACGCCGTCATACATGTCAGGGGGCAACACTGCACACATACATACACACTCACTGCAAGAAGAAACCAGACAACTTCTCGCAAAAGCTCTAACACATAATAAGGCGCTGAATCTCCTTGACTGGCAAACGACGCGCGGTCCAATCCTCCAGCCCTGGGAGATAATAAAATTTGTAGACAAGGCTCTCCACCTCGCTATCGGTCAGTGAAAAATTCATTCGATCTTTCAGGGTTCGCCTGAAATCCTCAACGCTGAGATGACCGTCGTAGGTGCTGTTTGAGGTTATCCTGAATGCCCGAATAAGAAGAATCCGACGGGCTTCGCTTTTCGAGATTAACTTCCGCAGAGCCTCATCCGCCTCCCTTGCTGCCGTTTTGCTCGCCTCAAGGTTTCGGAACGAGCGGAGAGGACCCTTTTCGATGCTTCTAAAAGTTTCATTCTTTGGAACAAAATCGGAAACAAACTGCAGCAGCAAAAGATTTTCCGTAAGTTCCGATAAATTGACAATTCCGTCATTGTCCTGATCCAGCCTTGCCATAACACGATCCAGTTCGGCTGCGTCCAGTCGAGTACCACACTCCAGAAAGAGTCCCTTCACATCTTCCTTGTCCAATCCATCCACCGTTGATTTAAAACGTCGGAAGACATCGGTCACACTTGAGAAGCGCTGAAGAATGACATTTCGCACACGATGAACGAGTTCCTGGGTGCGGAAATAGTCCTCATCCATGAGAGGCATTCCCATCGCAATGTATCGCTTGGTTCGCTCATCCATCTCGATGAGCTCATAAGTCACCCCCGCCAGTTTCACTCTGGCCCCCACACACAGTTTTCCAGGCTCATTTATCTCAGGGACAACGGCACGGGCAAAGCATTTTCCACCAACATGCCCGCTATTTGCCACAACAAGCTCAAAAAGCGACACTGTATCATCGGCGAGGTAGTAGCAAAAGACAAACATTCGACCTTCATCTTCTGGGCTTGGATTCACACGTCGAGCGGCAAAACGGAACACATCGTTTGTATAGCGAGTAAGTTTGAGGCGATCCTTATGACTGGAATGATCTTCAAATACCATTGTCGACGCGCCCTGGACACTCTTCATAATGGGCAATTGCGTTGCCGTTGGCGGCGGTGATTTCGGCTTGGGGGCAAGTATATCTGCTTCTGTTGGTGGTTTTGGGAAAGACGGCTGTGCAATACCTTTCGCCTCGTAGTAGGCCCGTGTGTAGTTGTCACAGTCAAAAATGTAGAATTCTCGTGAGAATAAATTGATCCTTGTTCCTGTCCGCAAATCTTCCTCGGAGATGTACACAACAGGGGCTCCGAGCGGATGATTGAGTGTTTCTGTATCTTGCAGCGGTGCCTTGGGATCTTTAGGAATAAGGGTGCGCCGAATGAAGACAGAGATAGGATCACGCCCATCGTTCCTCGCATGTTCCAGCATGACAGAAACAGTTTGGTCAGCAATGTAATACTGCAATCTAAAAAGTCGCTGCTCCCAGACCGCAAAAAAGCGTAGTACTTCCCGGTCGTGCTCGAAGAAGTTGCGGGCTTTACTGCGCTCCTCTGGCGAAAGAAGAGTGGCATGGGCTCCGGTGGCATTTGCCGCCGCAACTTCCATGTTGCGTCGCATCGTGGCATGCAGCTCATCCATGGGGACCTTTACAACCTTGACGCTGGCCTCGAACGCATCCTCCGGGTAGCCAAGGGGTTCAGGCTGAGGTACTTCCATCGCCGCGCAAAAGTCACGCGTGGCTGCATCACAATCAACAAGCGTGTACTCCACCCCTCTTACCTGAATGGTGGATCCGATGTAAAAAGAGAAAAAGTCCACACCATCGATTTTGCAACGGGAGACAATTGTGCCGCCAGGAAGACCACTGTTGGCGACAGCAGGGGTCTCCACCACGACAAGAGTTCCGTCACAGAGGTAGAAGTAAATCTTCACCTTCCGAACACGCATTCGCTCCACCATGCTCTCATCCACGCGCTCCATGTAGTACGCAAAGAAGCGAAGAACTTTATCGTCCATCGAGTTCCATGCCGGGAACCTGGCAAAAATCTTGGCGCGACTTAAACCACCGCACTCCCCTCCCTCGCCGTTATCACCGTCCCTCCGACGGATCGGACGAGCATCGAGCACGGCTCTGGTGCCGTCATGGATGCTGCAGTATTGCCGTCGGGAGTGGTTCGGCGGGTGGTGAAGCTCAGGGAAGCTGAACCCCGGCAGCTTCGGCAGGGCGTTGTACACCGTCTTCTCGTTCATTGGAATGCACACACACAATCTCCCTTTCTAACTACCCAAACCCAGTACGACAAGAGAACCCGAACAAAAGCCACAACAACAACAACAAGAAAAAAAGAGGGTAAAGATACAAAAAGAAATTACGTGAAAAGACAACAGGGGAAGAAAAGTCATGCCAATGCAAAATCGCTCATCTTCGTCAGCTCACATTTCCAACAGCAACAAAACCAAAAAAAAAAAAAAAAAGAAAACGCTTCCCCGTCATATTTAGTCACTTCTCAGAAACAAGCAAAAAAAAAAAAAGATTAAAAACACAACGATTTCCTTTGCCCGACGCATATACATCACGAGCGGCGAGTCCGCGGAAAAACCCCGGAGACTCGGGAGATTAATTCTTGGCCAACCAAGAACATTGGAGGTAACTGCGTGTTTTGGACACGACAACCACCTCGGTGATGCTCCCCAGTAAAGACAAAGAAAAACAATAGCTGGTGAGCAGAGCAATCCGGTGCCGAATTACCCTCTCGCTCCTTTCATTTTATTCCTGAAGGGTACAAAAAAAAAAAAAAAAGCAAGGGAAAAGAAGAGTCTGATCGAAGACTATTTTCCTTCTTCCCGCCTCTCCACAACACAGGTGCATGCAGAATTACATAAAATCACTCTCCCCCCCCACGTCCACACCCACACCCCGCAGTTCTGTACGCATCTCACGCGCCTGGCCGCTTGAGAGAGTTCCTGTACACATGGTGGGAAAAGGTAAAAAAGTGAGAAGAACGATTTCCACTATATAATAATAATAATAATAATAGAAAAAACACCTCATTGCTGCACATTCGCAGAAATAAATAAATATATATAAAGTGGAAATGAACAGAAATATGTCCTTGTTTTTGCTCTTTGCTTATTTCTTTTTCAACCTCCGAATGGTCTTCCCCTCCCCATAAATTACGCTCCGTTCCTCCTATTACGCATAGAAAAGAAAAAAAAAATGGTTGAAAAAAGACGACCGCCAACAATAATAATAATAAACCAATAAATAAGTGAGTTAAAGTACCGATATTTCCTCTTTCACATAAAACAAATATCAGTAGCAATTAGAAAGGCACATACATATGTGTACACACCTATTCTAAAACTTCTTCGTTTAAAAAAATTATTTACCATGCCTATTTACCCGAAGTCCACGTACCATCTAATTCCTGCCTACTGCGGAGAAAGACTGGAGAAAACGTGCAATAATAAAATGGGTTTCGCATCGGGTAGACGCAGTTTTGCTCCAACTAAAACTTTGTACGCGCGGCAGAGTACAAGGAAATAACGGCCCAACCGCGGAAAGCAATATATAAAAGGGCAAGAGTTAGCCACAAAACCCAGTTTTCATATTGCTTCTGCTGAAACCCAAGTTGGCGCAAGATATCCTCGCCGTTTTGGGGCTTATCTTTACAGAAGCCCGGTGGTTTGCCTCTACCATCACACCGAATGTGGTCGATATGCTTAAATTCATTGCGGGCAAGAAGAATATAGGCCTGACGAATAAAGGATGGCTTCTCCAACCAGTACCAATACGGATGCAGTCGATCTGTGTTCGCCAAAAGACCACCGACCATGGCAAGCGGTAGCAAAATCACAGGCGCGGTACCGGAAGCAACGACCAAACTTTTAAACGTGGCACCAATGGCAAACCCAAGACCCGAGGCCACTTCAGTAAGCAGCGCGATGACCGCAAAGTAGTAAAAAAAAGCTCCTGCCTGGCGGTAAAGACCCACCATCCAGTATAAAATACAGCACTCAAGAAAGGCAAAAAATACGCGCATTGGAAACTCCACCAGGGTTTTTGATAAAAAGAAAATAAAAGGGGAGTATGAGCCAACCATTTGCTCCCGCACGTACAAGGCCTTATCTTGCATAAAGGAGTTGACCATGATAAAAGTCTGCCCCATAGCCCGATTCATCGTTACCATGAAAAAAACTCCCTCGCGATCCTGCATACCAGCTAAATCATCTTTAACATTCAGAAATATGAGACCCACAATCACTGCAAAGAAGGCAGCCTGTATAAAATGTGAAAAAATGTATACATGATTCCGACTGAGATCCATGGAAAAACGACGAAAAAGCTCCTGGAATTGGATACACGAGGTGCTCCCAAACCTACCAAGGTAGCTTTCAATATTTTTCGCGGTGGGAGACTCGGAGGGATTGGGATTTAGCTCAACCGCGGTTGTATGTGGGGTTCTCACACCATGTTTTAGATAGCTCTTCCATTTTTTAACCAGTACCTTGGAAATTTCTGGATCTTGGAGCAACTTCATAAAGAAATCGCTTGGCGTATATCGTTCAGGACAAGGGAATCCGATGGACTCAAAGTATTCCACGGATTTTGCCATCGTGCCATGATAAGCACATCGACCCCCGGTGAGAAGCATGAGATCATCAAAGTACGTCAATGTCTCAGCAGTGGGCTGGTGAATGGTGTAAATCACCGTGCGGCCAGTTCGGGCAATGTTATTCAGAAGATGCACAATCTTCACAGATGTCACGGAGTCCAGACCAGAGGTGGGTTCATCCAGCAACAGAATTTTAGGATCGCAAATGAGCTCCACACCAATACTTGTGCGTTTGCGTTCACCACCCGAAAGACCAGAGACAAGGCCAGGGATACCAACAATGGTCTCGCGGCAGTGGACAAGGCGTAATTCCTCCAAAGTTTCCTCAACAAATTTATTCGTTTCACTTATGCTTGTGCCACGCCTCACGCGCAGCGAAAAGCGAAGGGAATCTTCGGGTGTTGCCCGTGGGGAGAGAATGTCGTCTTGCGCCACAAAACCAACCATCCTGCGGTAATGACGCTTGTACTCCAAGTCCCCCAGCTGGCGTTTCCCTGTCAGCTTGAGGGTACGCGAGGTTGTAAGTCGGTCAGAGATAGCATTGAGAAAAGTCGTCTTGCCCGCACCGCTGGATCCCATCACAGCAAGGCATCGTGATGGTAACGCTGTTCCTGTGAGGCCGCAAAGAATTTTCGTGCCGTTTGCCGAATATGACAAATTATGCCATGAGACGGGAATAGAAAAGCGTCCACTCACGGAGCTCTTATTTTGTTCCACAGCGTCGAACTGCGCGACGGAGCCCTTGATGGAGAATCCGGGGGCGATGATGCTATAGTCTTCGATTTGGGGTTCGTTACCCTTCTGCTTCGGCGCGATTTGGTCGTCAGACTCCAATGATGAGGCGGAGCTGGGAGTTACTGGCTCATTCACCTCCGCTCGGCAGCAAGACATTTTTTATTTTCCCCTATTTATGTTTTTTTTTCTTCAAAAAAAAATAATATGTAATTTTGGTTTTGTTTTGATTTCTTGTTTTCCTCCTTTTTTAATGAAATGGCACCACTTTCTACTTACTGCAACGCCCAAAGAGGCAGCCAGTGGCAAACACGAAGGTAAAATAAAAATAAAAATAAAAATAAATAAACATAACTGGGGCAGCAAGTGTACAAAGGAATAAGAGCAGGTGCGGCCACACAACAAAACTCCACATAGCGCAGGGTTTTTAGTTCATCGTCGTATTTGTGTGTTTCCTTTTGTTTTATGCTTCTTCACTTAAAAGTAATGGATGCTTTACTCGCCACTCGTCCACCGGCCCATAAACACTCACACGGGATAAAGCGCCGACACATCTACTTCAAAGGCAGTATCGTCTTTTCCGCTCCTCGCGTTTTTTTTTATCTTCGTTTCAATACGATTGCTAGAATAAACTAAAAGAGGGAAGAAAATACAAGCCTTTATATATATATATATATATGTATTATTACACCAGCAACACGGCATTGATGCAGCCGTCGTTCTCCGGGTTGTTAGTTACCTGCGCGTACTTTCCCCAGACCACCTTTCCTGACGGTGTAACCAGACCTAGATCCGAGACATTCACCTCAATCACTGTCCCCTTCGTGATAACACCAAGTCCAGTGTACATTTTACCCTGTGGATTCTTCTTGACACCAATGATAGGCAAGTGAAACGTAGCCTTCAGCTCCGGATGCGTCACATGAGCCTTTTTAAAACGGAGAGCCATGGGACGAATGAAGCGTTCGTGCTTTGGCATACGGCGCGTGAAGGTTTCGCCGACAAATGTTACTTTATTCACCATGCGCTTCCATGACTTCTTTCCGCGCTTGCCGGACGTAACGGCCTTCATCATTTCATCCTCGCTGACGGGTTTGACCTTTTCAATCGGCACCGCCCACTTCCCGGCCTTCTCCTTCCGCTTCTGTTTCAAAGAGTTGGAAAGCACCTTTGCACGGTCAGCCTCGCTGCGGTCCATGAGAAAGCTGGGCAGCGCGTTCTTGGGCCCCTTCTCCTTCACGCGCTCCTTTGTTTCCTTTTCCTCATGCTCACGTATCTTCTTGCGGATTTCCGCCTTTTCCGCGTAGCGCCGTTTAGAAGCTATCTTAGCCTTGATGCCTCGAACGGTGCGCAGATGCTTCGCTTGCGTGTGCGCCTTTCGGGCATCGCGTTTGCGGATGCGTTCGGCGTGATCTAGACGGCGACCGTAGCGCTTCTGCGCCAACTCAATGTACTCGTTTTGCGGCATCCCACTCCACCCACTTTTTTAATACAAAAAAGAAAAAAAAAAAACAGTTTATAACGCAAAAACAAAGGAACGCCACGTCTTCTCTGCCCACTTGCAACCATGTGGAATTGGGAGTGGGCAGAGAAAATATGAGGTAGAAAAATATAAAAAAACGCAGACGCAATACATATATATATAACAACAAGAAAACAAGCGCCAACGAAATCCACAATGGCGATTGCATTACATCCGCTCCTTTTTCATTTTCTCGTCCTTTTCCTCCTCCCCTCACCTTCGTCAAAATCCGCTCCAATTACGACGACAACAACAACAAAAACATCAAATCACCCCAGTGGATCACTGGGCCAACTCATCCTGCACACTGGGGAAAGCAACAGCATCGACAACCTCCGCCAAAAGAGCGTCAACTATATGCTGCTCGTGCTTCGACAGGCGTGCAAGGTCAAATGCAGGGTATGTGGCGCATGGTGGTTCCACCGCTGTTGGGATGGATGACACAGACGGCTGCGGGGAAGGATCCAAGGTCTCACCCTGCGTGTCAGTCGTCCACCGCACACGGCTGCTTTTCACTATGCGGAGTCGCTGCTCTACGCGCGACATGCCCTCAGATGCGGATTTTGTGACGGGAATCTCGCGCTGTGACATGTCGTAGCCACTATGAAGCGTCCCATTGCCCGATGATTGGTTGTGCCTCTCGGAGCGTGAGGACATTGTCCTCCAGGCACTTTCCCCATGTCGAGTCAAAAAAAAAAAAAAAAAAATGGGGAGTGGATAATAGCAATAATAATAGTAATAACAATAATAAACACAAACAAAAAGACACAAATTGAGAAGCGCGGCAAAGCCACTCTTTTTCCCCCCTCCCCCCGAAACACACACACACACAAAAATAATAGGTGAGTGTTAATGACGGGGACGCTCAGAATGGTTTCTCCTTTCCCTATATTTTTCATCTTCTCTGCCTCAATTTTTTCCCTCCCCATTATCTCCCTTTTTTCTATGAACTTTTCATTAGCGCCGCAACAGCGTCCGAGTCACGGTTGATGTAGCGTCTCCTTCCCCGCATCGATGGTTCCACCTGGGCTATTGCCTTCCCATAAAGTAACTCACGAACGGAACTGTGGTCGTGAAACGAACGCCTTCCAGTGTTCACAACGGGTCTTGCTGCTTCTTCCTCATAAGCACGCAGTGGTGGGAGTTCTCTTGGCAATTCCTCAATCACTTCAATCTCTGGTTCCTCTGGTGGATACTCATCTGAGCTCAAGGCGTCAAAAATAGACTCCTTGACACATGCCGCAGCATCGTTATCGGTGCTTCGTGATGAATCTTCGACGGGAAAGGAACTACGTGGAGGCAACTTACGTGGTGGCTCCTTTTCTATCTCCGAGAAGAGTCGATCGCGTGGTGCGGATGTGACAAAGGCGGGGCGCGGCTCTATAGGTCTTGATGCAGCAATCTGCCGACTGAGTTGTGCTGTGGAGGGGCGGGATAATACCGATGATGCCGTTGCAGGACGACCGATGTCCATCACCACCGACTCTGCCGCCTCACGCACCCTTGGCGGCCATTTGCGGGAGTCAATGGCGAAAATATCACGCCGAAAAGATGGATCGATTTCTAATACCGATTTCTCACGCTTAATCAATAGAGAGGCGACATCTAAAAACGTTATTTTAAACACCTTATGCCTGAAAAGGCCTTCTCCCACGTATGAGAAGAACTCACGAAGCGCCATGGATGCCGTACGTGCGGGAACCTCTGCAATGCTGACGACATCTGCCATGCTTATCTTCACGTACACCAGTCTGGGCGGTTCTTGTGGAACCTTATTAGAGTCTAAATTGTAACGAAGGGCAAAATTGCTGTCCATGCCAAAGTGAACCCGGCGCGCGTAGTAGCGTTCAACTCCGTCTGACACCACCGGGCGTGTTTCAAACCAAAAAGAACCAAAATTGGCAATACGCACATTGTGACCCTCAATGAGATGGCCACGCAGGACGGTAGAAAGCGCCGTCCACACACGCTCCAATTCGCTAAGAAGAAATATCTCCTTTGCAGTTTGTTCCTGAGAGCTGGTGCACTCAATCATGACGAGCTCATTGGTAATTGCTCCCTGTGCGCTCAGCATTGTCCCCTTACCGTTACCCCCCCCACCAACTAAATGTAATTGGGCCCATTAAAATACCAGTGGGCAAGATGTTGATGAGCACAAGAAAACAACAACAACAGAAAATGTGTAGAAGGAAAAGAATATAAAACAAACAAAAGATGCCATTCACAAACAATAGCATGTCAATCTCCATATTTTCATCAGCCGCATGAAAAAACACCCCACATTTCTCACAGTACATTTTTTTTTTTTCCTTCTTCCGGCAACAAAATACTGTTGCCCACTCAGGCTTACGGCTTTGGCAAAGAACGATAGCCAAGCGCGTCGAGAAACCGTTCCCGTATTTGCTTGCCTTTTTTCTTTTTTTTTCTCTCGTAAGGAGAAAGGAAGGCGCCGTGTTACACTTCAGCAGGATTGTGTGCAAATGGAAGGAGGGGGTGACCCCGGATTATTCCGTAACCCTCTTCGAGAGCACCTTTTAGTCCTCAAAATCACTGCTTTGACTCAAAAAAAATATCACTCAATTGTGGCGGAACAGTTGGTGACTCCACAACGTCTGGCCCTCCCGCTCCTTTCTTCTTTTCAGAGGGTCCTGTCGACGTTGAAGCAGAAAACACTAACTGACTGGCCACATCAAGCAAGTCGACGCTGATGAGCATCAGGGAACGCCCTGCATTGCTCAAGTAACAAATAAAGCCGGAATGTTCGAGCTCCACAAGATGCCGCACTACAAAGCCGTCCACTAGCGGCGCGTAATAAGCCACAGAAGATGCAAGGAAGCGATTGTACACCCTTGTCGCCCCGCAAAATCTCGGGTGAAGAAGGTACAGGGAGAAAATGACGCGGGCCGAAATATAGAGGGTTCGCATGGATAAGAGATACGAGAGAAAAAGTACATCTAGCAATTCTAGCAGCCACAAAAGAATCATGGCCAGCGTCAGGTTCGTGATGAGCGCTGCGTCCACCAATCGCCCCTCTCGTGCCGAGCGGCAGAGTTGGACGCCTGCCAACAGCGGCTGCACACACGCAACAACCCACAGGAGGAATTCTACCAAGGAACACAACATGACCAAACAGACTAAAGAACTGCTTTTAGTGTGTGCCAAATGAAATAAACAACCAACAACAGCAACAAGAACAGAAGAAAAGAAAAAAAAGGAAGTTCAAAACAAAATGCGTGAACACCACCAACAGCAAATCATCCTTGTCCCTCCTGCAAAAACTGCGCAAAATGGAGTTTACCACTCAATACAAAAAGATAGACGAAACGGCCTCCAATAAACCGGAGACGTGCGCCTCCCTCATCTCCGCCCTAGATACTTTCCGTACTTTTACTTTAACAAGTAAAAAAAGAAAATATTGAGCGCGCGCACACACACACACATAAAAAAAAAAAGAATGGGGAAAATACAGACAAAAAAAGAATGTGTGGGAGCATGAGAAAAAGGGAAGGGAAGAAACAAAGATCCACCGGCACCAAAGATGGTTACAGCTCCGCATCATTAAAGCAAAACCAGATGGGTGACGCACAATTCACCCCTTACCGTCTCACTGAGAGACCGCAAGCTTCTTCAAGTGTTCCATGAACACTCCAAGTGATGCATCGTCTGTGTACACCAGCTCCCCTTCGTTTGTTCCATATTTTTGGTCATTTTCTCCTCCATACGATCGGCTTGGATTTATTCTATTGTAAAGAATGCGTGCGTCCGGATCATCTTGACAAACGTAGATGAACCGAGGGGTGGGGTACCTGCCCGCCACAAGTATCTCTGCATCCGCTACAGGGACCTGCAAAAACTCCTTGAAATAGGCATACTCTTCTAGCTCAGCGTACCCCGCCCTTCGCCACGCCGCAATAGTTGAGCCAAGATGAACAAGAACCTCAAAAAAAGTATCAAGAAGAAGAATGTTATCGGGCTGAATAGCAGCACTGTCAAGAAGTACAGGCTGCGGCGGAGCATCCATGCGGTAGCTGTACAGTGTGGGCTGAATTTGAATAATAGAATCCTGGACGGATGACTTAAGAAGCATCAGACGTAGAGTGGCCGTTTCATCAGGGCTGCAGTTAAATACTTGCAGGTACGCCGATCTTCGCAGGTGATACATAAAGGCTGGAAAAAAAACAAATTGCGGTGGTAGCTTCAATGTCGAAGGATGATCCTTCACATAATCACCAAAGCGGCTGACGAGGCGCACCACCGTTCGATCTACCA